CAGCGAGGTTCGAGAACAGTGGGTCCCTGTCTTGGTCTGGCTTATCCGGAGCTGAGGCCTACAGTGACTGCTGTTGTCTGCCACGTGTGAGGGGAGAGCGCTGGGCCGCGTCCAGCCGTGTTGCTTCTCTCAAGGGAAGTGGTGAGATTTTGCCAGTTCTTTAGTTTGCTGGTTACCAAGATTTTTAGATCATGTATACCTGTTTTGTTTCAGTCCCTTTTCATCCTATTTTGTCCTTTTTCCCTTCTCCCTTCCCCTCTTCCTTTTAGGAAGCTATTTAGGGTTTCTGGGGTTATAGGTGTATAATATTCTCATTGTATATATCTGTTTCATATGTAAAATATATATTTTTGCTATAACTTTGGCTGCTTGGTTTTTTTTTCTTCCCTCTCTGGGAAGCAGACCCTGTTGTCAAGTTTCGGAGACTTGGCGGGAAGCCAGCTCGAAACTTGCACACCTTGGTATAAAAAGCATAGAGATCTTGTGGGTTACTGAAATTTGATAATTCCTAATTATAATTCTTTCAGTTTAGATTGAATTTTGTCCCTTTTTTTTTTGGTTGATATAACTAAGCACTACATACAGTGTGATTGACAACGTGGTAGTTCTGGTTATGTAAGTTCTGCAGGAAAAATAAAACACTTGGTATGAAGACAATCAAGTTTTGCAGAAGGGTAATGAATTTTTTTCTTCATCTTTAAAGAGTCCTTATAAAGGCAATTAGGCTTTTTGCTGTTAAGTAGTTTGTATATTATTTAGATTCAACAATTGAAAAGATGAGTTTTTGTAATAATAAGTGACGCTTCTTTGCAGCTTATACAGAAGAAGTCAAACTGATTGTCCTTTCCTACTAATTCTTTTTCTATGAGATGCTTTTTAAGGCTCTGATGTTAAATACACTTCAGTAACATCCAATTTTTTTACCATATTATTGAAAAAATGTAGGTGTAAGAGCCTTTTGTACGCTTTGTTACTCTTTTTTTATCCTAAAGAGAAGTCACAGGAAATAAAATTTTCTCAGATTTTGGCTCATACTGCAGCTCTTTCCCTTTTCCATCCATTTTACAGTATCCATCAGAACTAGCCATGGCAGTTCAGTCATGATCTCACAAACATTGACTTTTTGTAGACACATGATTTAAATACATCAACTTTCAAATAAATTGTCCTGATCTCTTATTTTTTACCCACTATATTCTCTCTGTCTGGGTTAAATCCAAGTGCATGTTAGTCATATGGATCACTGATAGTGAAAGACAGTCTGGGGGTGCAAGAAAATTGTTTCTCATGCTACTTTTCAGAGAACAGTGGGGTAGATAGGTCAGGGCTATATCTTTGCTTAAAGGCAGAGAAAATTCTGTTTGAGAAGGAGCACAGCAGCCCAGAAAGCTTAGGGCTCAGTGTGTTCTTGAGTAGCCTCATTCCCGCAGGGAAGCAGTGTGCCAGGTATGGTTTCCTTTACAAAAGCAGAGAGAGCACTTACTTCAGTCCTAACCTTATGGTTATTGAAAATTTTCTCCTCCTATCCAGCTAAAGTTTTCTCTTATGCATGACAAGCTAAGCATTTCTGATTTCTGAGAAATTTTCCTTTCCATCAGCAGTGATAGCACAGAGAACAGGAATCCATCAATCTTTATCCAGATCATTCAGTATCTATTACTGAACTGCTAGACCAATAGATCTATAGAAATGTGCATTTCCATCTAAGTATAATGAATATAAGTAGACATGTAAGTCTAAATTTTCTGTATTTTGAAGTAGGAAGCTACAAACATAAAACATAATTCAAAAATAGAACACACAAAGATTTCCTGGTATTTTCTTCATGGCTTCTTGCATTCCTGTGTCACCACTAGAGAGTTTTTTAAAAGAGATAGGTATTTTCTCTTTATTGCCAAAAAACGGCTCTTCTGAAGAAAGGATTGTGGTAACCAGCCTTGAGTCAATGAATCTTTGTCAGGAGGATGAAACAGAGAACTGTGACAGATCCTTTTTCCTCAGCAAGGGCTACAACATCTTGTCTATTCCCCTAATGACAATTACCTCTGTCATGCTGGCACTGTAGGAGGGATCAAGTCCTGCCAACGTGACATGGGTACACAGAATGGCAGGTTTCAGACACTGGTTTCTAGGTCTTATGCAGAGTTATTTTAGATGGTAGCTTTTGATTTAAAAATCTGAATTTGCATAAATGCATAAATCTAGATATATCCCTTGTTAAAAATTTCTCTTGTTAAAAAATAGCTCCTATACTTCTCTGAAAATATATTGCCTAAGTCATAGTTGTGTAATACCTACATATGCAATTTTCACTTGCAACATGTAAACCATTTCAGTTCAGTCCATAACAAATTGTATCTGGAAGGATACACTATTTATTCAAGTAAGGCAATATGTTTTTAGCAAAAAGATACATTTTGTAAGAAATAAAGGATTCTATTTCAATTTTTTTTCCAATTTCCTTGAAACCCTTACACCTTCTGTTTTAGTCAGTCAGGGTCACTATGTACAGCAATTTCAGTAGTAAAAGAAAAAAAAATGCCTACAATATACCTGCTTCTACTTCTGTTACAATAAATAGAAGCTTGCTTTCTTTTTCACTTACTGGAGAGCATATAAATTATGCTGGTTCCCAACTTCTGTGCACCTTTCTTCTGTAGGAATTGGTCTACAATAAACAATTCATAATGTCACTAACAGACATGTAATTCCATAGCATTTACCCAAATCAGTGTTGTGTGGCTTCCTACAATGTTTTGTATTTTAAGCAAACTAAGCAAGCTGAAAAAAGTACTTAAATAAAAGCTGTAGGGGCAAAGAGAGCTATGAAAGAGGATTTCTGAGGTACATAGTCACTGAAACTAAGCTCAGTTATTGAACTTCTCAGAAGACAATGGGTCAGATTCTGTCGGGTATTTTCTGTTAGTGTTCAGTTTGTACTCAAAGCAAGCAGACAAACTACAGAATAAAATAGTAATGCGCATGGCCTTGTAGTGAGAATAAATCAAGTCATTCACTATGCTTTAAAATAATTTAAAATACTCCTTCAAAACATCTTTCAACAAAAAACATGTTTTCAAAGGAATGCTAATTTTGATTCCTGATATCATTTGACTAACAGTATTTTTTGTGCAAAGATGCTTGTCTCACTTTGATAGAAGCAATTCCCACTTTCAGTTTCTGTTTATCCAACTCTCGTATAAAATGACTGAAATAACTTATATCAATACTTTTTATTTTTCAACTCATCAGGAAATGGGAAAAGTTAAAAAGGTCAATTTTCCTTTTGGTCACTGGAAAAAGTATTCTTAAAAGAATAACAATATTTATTTTTCAAAGCTTAAACTTTTATAAATGACTGCATTATCTGTATTTACTTCCTTTATCAGAATTGTTCAAAGTTCAAAAATAAGCCATTAGAAAATTAGTCTCATTTTTCTTATAGGTTATTAAGAGTTTAATTAATGATACATTATAAAATTACTCTCCTGGATTGTTTTTTCTTAAAGTAATTGTTCAAGATAAGAAGCTGTAGTCAAAAAACTTGACTACCTCAGCTTCTGCTTCAGCTATACAGAAACATCTGTCATTGGAACATGATTTTATTCATTTATTTTAACCTACCCTGGGTTTCCTACTCTTGAATTAATTAACTTGTGCAGGCGAACACTGGCATAAAAACTGATTAGAGGACTGAGCCCACTCTTAATCTCTGTGGCACCTCAGGTGTGAATCCCAGCTCTTCTGATTATTTTACTTATGTTTTATTGCCCTTTAACTGCCTCATCACAAAGTGGTTACTCTGGATAGCAGAGACCATCACTGTGCCCTCATCAAGATACAGGAGCTTTAGCTGGGATGTGGGTCTGGCCCTGTGTTTTCCAAAAAGATGAATTTCTCTTCTTAAAATACAGAACGATATGCAGAGATAGAGCCTTTCTTCACACCCTGGGCTCTGGCCTTTCTGCAGTTGCTGCAGTCACTGGGCCAACTGGGACAAACTGGAAGGAGCCAAGACTGTACCTTCAGGAAACGGAGCTGGCTTATTTTTACAGTCATAGAATGGTTTAAGGGACCTACCCTAAAGATCATGTAGTTCCAGCTCCCCCCTGCTAAAGGCAGGGAGGCCACACTTTAGATCAGGTTGCTCAGGGTCCCATTCGACCTGACCTTGAACACTTTCAAATAGTATTTTTAAAATACTTCAGAACAGCCTGTGTGTTTGTCCAGGTACCCCTGCTGTCTCTTTAGACAAGTGTTTGGATTCAGCCAGCTGTTCCTTTTGGCCAAGACCCTCATTAGCTGCCAGACCGTTGTCACAAAAATCCTGAAACAACTTCTCCCCTTTTAATTGGATTATTTAAACAATGTGCTTTACCACTTTCTTCCTGGCATAGCCTTCAAATCCTGTTCCCCTGACTTTGCCCATTTACAGCACAAACCATTGGTGGCTGACAGTAGAGTTCCCCGCTGATGGACTTTCAGCCATTCCTCCTCCCTCCCCTTGTCCCTCGTCACATCTTTTCCCACCTCTGAGCTGTCACCACCTTTCCCTAAGCTGCACCAGGGAGAAGAGGAGAAAATTAATTGTGTCATTTTAACATAACATCTTTCTACAATCATAACCCTGGAAATTCACTCCTTGCAATTACAGTGAACTTGCACGGGTGCAACTTCATTTATTTAAATAGCCCGACATCTGAGTGACACATGCAAGTATGTGAGCAGAATCTTGGCCTACACCTTTGTCACTGTGAGTTATTTCAAATGTAAGAACATTATTTACTACTTCAGTTACATAAGGATAGATATAACTAGACATATATTGCTGCTGTCACTTCTCCCCAAAAATACAGAATTAATGAGCTCCGGCCAGACAGTCCTGACTTGTCTCAGGTTTGTTTGGTGGAGGTTTTGGGGTCAATATGTGCATCCCTTTTTTTTTCAGTAGTTAAGTTTTGAATTTGTTGTAAAACTTTGGCTACAAGTTACTTCTCAGATGATAACACTAATTTTTTTTTTGCTAGAAAGCTCCTCCTTTTCAAACCTGGCCTGTGGAACAGTGAAGCTGTTTTCTTGTGTTTTGCTGTGTTTGTAACTGGATCCATTCAGCCCTGAGACTACAGACTTCCTTTGTTCCTTTGTTGCATTCAAAATCTTACTAAAGGTAGAAGGAAACTCACATTATATCCAGAGCCTGTGATTTATTGCTAAGTGTAGATGAAAACTTCACAGTCAAAATGAAGAAATATTATTAGTCCTGATTTAAGAGAAAGGAAAGGAAAAAAGAAATAAGTAAGAAAATTAAAGGTTCAGACTTCACAGTATCTGCACCTTGATCTACTGTTATATCATGTCACATACCATGGTAGTTGGTTTCAGATCAGGGTGGCCAGGAGCATTGCAGCATTCTCAGTTTTTTACCAGGAGGAGTACAACTTTAATACTGATGGTTTCCTTCTCCTTACTCTAGGGTCCACTAGCATATATTTGTATTCTTCCTGACCCTTTCTATACCTTGTATATTCTTCAATGATCTAAAATACTACATTAAATCTCAATTTATATGGAGTGTGAGTTACCCCAGATACAAGCTCTTTGTTTTTTCTTACCCTTGTAGCTGGTTGTGCTCGACTACCTAAATTGACATTTCTGCAGCTGATGAACTGCAGGGATAGGGATGCAGGATCCTCCAGTGCCCAGCTGTTATGATGCCATGCCGTGTCTATCCCACACAGCATCCCGTTCCAGTTTCCAACACCTTGTTCTCATTCCATCCCTATACTCTACTCTTCATCGTGGCACTGCACCAATGTTTCATTCTACACAAAAAAGCTACTTCTTACTAGTGTTAATTTAAATTCAGTTATAAAAACCTATGTAAAAGTAAGACAAATTAGGTCATAAATTTCATTTTAAAACTGATCCAGCTGACAAACAAAGTGAAATAAAACTCCTGGCAGGACAAGAAAAGCCTAGACAATAAGTCTGACAAGTTCTACTACTGAGACCTTACAAGATTAGTACAAGGTACACCACTCTTGCACACATAGTTTTCTGCCAGAAAAAAACCCAAACAAATGAAATATTACATATCAGTTCTACACTTTACAGAGCAATGCATTATAACACAGCCCCCCAAAATACCTTTTGAGCAGTGACTGACTACATAAGCACCTTAACTCATCTCAAATAATGTATGTTATGAACAAACAGAAAAAACTAAATAGAATTGTTAACTTGATATTGTACCAAATATGTTGGTTGTGTCCTGGTTTTGTCAGATATATTTTAAAAGAACAAACTATCAAAGGTATTCCATCTAAATAAAATTTGAGCACTTCATTACTACTTGTTTGGAAAATTTTTTTTGAACAACAAAGCTGAACAGTCTGCATCAAACAATCATATACCACATAAGTGGGGCATATTTTGGTATGTTATATTATCTTAATATTTCTTGCTAGATATTTTCTGTTTTCAGTTCTCTGTGTTTCTTTTGGATAGGTAAATAAGTACTTAATTACTGAGCATTAGATATATATGATTATTATAGATTCACAGATGAATTTTAAGAAAATTATGGTTTATTAAGAGTTTTTTGGGTTTTTAACAGAATTATAGCCAGCACAGAAAATGGATGAGTTGTAGTACCTGTTGTTTCCATCAAAAATAAAAGAACAGAAAGGTTCTGTATGATCCTATTTAACATCATGTTTCAGTACTGGTCAAGAAATTTATACTGGATAGAATTGAAAAATGTGTCAAAATTAGCTGAGCCTAGATGGTCAGGTAAAGATCAGAGAAGAGACCTTTAAAATGAAGAGACATTTCAAAATGAAGATTGTAAGTGAAACTAATATCAGTTTTGGCATTTGAAAATTATTTTTTTCAGTAGATAACCTTATCTTATTGCAATTTGAGCCAAACGAAAACAGATTTTTTTTAAAATTTTTTTAAACTGCATGTTGGGGAAGTGGGAGGTTGTTATGTAAAGGATAAGCTTCCTTCATGTTGTTTTTTTTCAAATGGAATGAGTGTTTTCCCTTTATTGTTTTGGCAAATTTTATGGAAACAAATGTTATTAAAAGGATAATATTTTTAACTTAAAAATCTTCATTTTATTCTTTTGAAATCTAATCACATTATATATATTTTATAAGAATTCCAGAAATATTTCCATTTTTCTAAGAGAAATTAAAAAGAAGACATAGAAACTTCATTTACATTTTATGAAGCAGTGAATTAATTCTCAGCTAATTTACACAATTTTACTTGCTTTTTCTATGTGAATGAAAATAATTTGTACCAAATTATCTCAGAAATTAAAATGATTGTCTTAATTTTCAGTTCTTCAAGAACCCAGAAAAAAATATTCTACAGTTCTTTTAATTTAGACACTAGAGTATGGAAAACAATAAGTTAGGTGCATGTTTTATATAATTTTTTCTTACCATACTAAATTATAAAATGGTGGCGATAGAGTGTGGATGTTGATGTCATCTAGTTCTTTATGATATTTTCTTTGTGATCTCAGTAACTGTAAATTTCTGATTACTTTTGGAGCTTTAATCTCAAAAATTAGCATAACATCGATTTTTTTTTCTTCAGTTTGAGGAAGAAGCCTGTATAGTTTCTCAGCATTAAGGACAGTTTCTCACATAGTCTTAATCTAGCTGTTTAATATATGATCAAGCTCTCAATCTCAACCAAAAATACTTGAAATTTCCTGTTTTCCTAGTGTGCATTAGCTGATCTACTTCTGTTTAGTCTATGTATCTCTGAAAAGAAAAACCATATTTTTTCAAGAAAAAATCAAAGTCACACTTCTGCACCTAAATGCTCTGGCTTCTCCACCTCTGTTCATGAAGGTGGGTCAGTATATGAAAACATATGGAAATGGTCTGGTATCTTTCACAGCTCAGAGCTGCTTCATTCACATACTTAAAATGTACTTGCAATGTTTTGAGAAAACTCTCAGCAGTACTACACAAGGCTATGGTTGCTGCTCTTTCCATTGTGGGGTCTCTCCTCTTGCTACTATTTATTGTGTTTCTTTTCTACTTCTTTTCCAGCTGACACATTCTTTGTTTCAGTCTCTCTGAAGTTCCCTGGTTACCCTTTAATCCTTCTGTGATCATCTTCCTATTTAAATAGCCATCCTGGAGCAAACACCCTCCAGGCAGTTCTCTGTATTCAATCTACGTGCAGTGTCTGCACTCACTGCCTGATCTTCACACTACTGCTACACAGGCCACTCAAGAGTGGTGGCCATGCAGGCACCCACGGTATCTTTTTGTACTTCAAAAAATTGAGTTTACACTTAAATATCTCTCATAATCAACAATAACAAGAACAAAAAAGGTTGTCACTCCTATTGGAGTTTATACAAAAGTATGTGAAATGCTGTAAACAAAGAAGCAAGACCTTTGCGTCTCCAGCTTTCAAACAGTATTGATGATAGTCCTGCTTCTATAGCAAACGTCATTACTAAATTTAACTCTATAGATGTGTTTATAAAAGTGCTTGAACATCTATGTAGTCTACATTTGGCTCCTGATTTTTTATAACAAGTCTTTTTTTTTGTTTCAGGGGTGAAAGAATTTTATACAGTGTTATTAGTTGTTTGGTTGGGTTTTTTTGATTTTTTTTTGTCTAGAGGGTAAAAATTAAGTATATGAAATATTGAAAAAATGGAAACATATATTATGTTTCAAAGAAAACCCAAATAATTATAAGATATACTGTTTTGCATTTCAGTACTTATGTAGCATTACTTAGTATTTTCAGAACTGCCAGTGCTTTTGGGTTTTTTTCATTCGCACTTTTCCTGACTGCTGATTAGTTACCATACGCTCAGATAAAGCCAAAAACCTCTAGCAACTGAACAGGTGTTCTATGTAGTGTGTATTTCAAGGAATTTTTTTGCATATTAACAATTACTTGTTTTCAGAGTTTCTCCTTTTTAGCATCTTTTAAAATTTATTAGTAACACTAATTCTGGTACTCCACGTTTTGTTGCAGGTAGATATAAAGTTTTGCTGACTCTCTGAATGTCTGTTGTTTATATTTAACTAGATAAGACTGTGAATGGACTACTGAGAAGAGATACATGCAACGGGAAAAAGTGACAGGTACAAAGGTCTTCCATTTCTTCCACAAGCTGATTTCTTTTTTCTGTCTCAAAAGTTCTCATCCCTTTGGATTGGAGACAAAAATTTAGGAGAAGGTGCTACTGAGCTAGTTGCATAAACTAACTTCTGAAAGATTTCACTGATAGATACACCATTGTTGTCTGATATCTGAAGAGCCACAAAATGTTTTCTGGCTTCCAAGACCCAGTGCTCATCCAAGGAACAAAAGGTATTTTGCTTATCAATTGCAAATCCAAAAGTCACTTTCATTTTATTATCAAAAACTACATTATAAGGTTAACTATTATAAAACTATCTTTCAAATTTTTCTTGGTTTTTAACTTTTTTCCTTTATCCTTTTTATCACAAACAGTAATAGCATGCAAGAACTTCTGTAATTTACATCTCACAAGACAAATTGATTGTTACATCAAAAAATTTGCAGCAAATCATTTCTATATGACATCAAAGAAACTACTTTCAAATAACTTTATTTCTTTGTCTCAAATTTCTTTAGTCTGCTGTCAATACAAGAACCTTTCTTATGCAATTACCTCATGGAATTTTAAGTATTAAAGATATGAAGGACAGAATTCATATTACTGGTTTTGTTATTATTTTTATTACCTTGAAATATTTTCATTAAAACATTATCTTGTATAATTCATGCAATATATCTTCTTTAAAAACCAGCCTGAATGTGGAATAAGGCCCTGCACCTTATGTTTAAATTCCTGGGTTTGTTTTGTTTTTCCTGTAGTATCCAAAAAATGATGATTTTTTATAGGATTAGCTGTCCAGATCCATTCACAAGACTGTGAGAAGCTGGTCATGAAGATGTGCATGCAAAAATTCTGACAGCATGATTGAACACTATATTTAGATTCTCTGAGTCTTTCATTATTCTGACCATATTTTTTACTGGGGTAAATGATAAGTTAGAATTTCAAAATAGATTTTTTTTTTGTGTACTAGGAGAGAACTCAAAACTTCACTCCTTAATAGGAAAAAAATAACATGAATTTGAGGGATAATGAAAAAGAATTCTAAATACTTTTGGCATTCATTTTAATATGAAGTGTTTTCTCTCTGAAAAAACTGAATCAAACACCCTAAATTTTAAATT